ATTTTTTTTTGGAAAAAAAGAAAAGTTTTTACTTTTCCCTCGCCTGGGTCAAATTACCTAGATAGATAGACAGCTACAGCTACACAATACACACAAGAACAGCAGAATCACACGAATATTTTTAGCTCGTGATGTGACGCTACCCGTAGATTTGCATATCCTGACGTTTTCCGCGAGTTGCTAAGTTTGTTCCCCTTTTAAAGAATTGGCGAAACATTCATATTTTAAAAGTATTCTACAAAAGTCTACATAAATTCATCCAGCACCTCCACTTTCTATGATAGACTCCGTCTTCCCGGCTCTGGGATACGGGGCTCTCACAGGATTTTCCTTCGCGGTCAGGGCGCAGCGGATTTGGCTTATTTTGCTTTGATTTGGAAGCATCAAACTACCGGGAGCTGTCGCGCGTTATCTCGGCCTCTGGCTAAACTGAGCTAGATTCAGTATACAAGAAACAGATCCGAATTATGATTAATTTAAGAAGCAGTCTTTCGTTAATTTTCGGGCCAAAAATCTGTTTTGGTGATTTGTCAGGAAATAAATACATAAACCACTCCCCCTCCTTTCCTAGCGCACGCACACCTTAGCGAACTCGCCCTCCCCTGTCAAGTTTCATACAGGTTCAAGCTTCTGTCATTAAGTGTTTTAGGGGGGTGGTTTGTTTTTGCAAATTAATTGTCTGTGGAGTCAGAAATGTCAGTTCTGTCACTCCATCAGCGCGTAAAGCAGAGGAGGCTGCAGGAGCCCCGATAGATCGGCTGCTTGAACGGCCTTTGAAAGAGGGTTCATCACCACCCCCGCCCCCGCCTCCCCCTGTCCCACCAGCTTAGATTCGCAGCCTCTGCAGACTCCCTGCTTCCTACTGACGGGGACCCTGTTCCTCCTTTCCCTTACAGCAGAACCTATCTCTGCCAGACAGCCGGCTCTGCGACCCCACGTCCACAAGCAGCCGGAGAAGACCACCCGAGTCCGGACCGTCCTTAATGAAAAACAGCTTCACACCTTGAGGACCTGCTACGCTGCCAACCCCAGACCTGACGCCCTCATGAAAGAGCAACTGGTAGAAATGACTGGCCTCAGCCCGAGGGTCATCAGGGTTTGGTTTCAAAACAAGCGGTGCAAGGACAAAAAAAGGAGCATTATGATGAAGCAGCTTCAGCAGCAGCAACCCAATGACAAAACTGTAAGTGGCTTCAGCCTCTGACCGTGCGCTGCCTTCCTTCCCGAGGAGAAACGCCTGGGCTATGTCCAGCCCGGCCAACCCCTGGGGTCGGTTTGACGCTTTTGATTTTGTGGGAGCCCCCTTAAAACAAAGAAAATGATGCCTTTTAACTTTTATCCGCTCGTTTCTGCTGTCAGTGCAATTAAACCAGACCAAAAAGCCGATACAGGCTGCTCAAGCGAACACGTCTTTTTGTGGGGCTAAGGATACGCAGCGGATTAGACTAACTTCTCTGCAGTACGAATCGCGACCTGCAGAGCTTATGGGATGTAGTAAGCCCAGCCTTGTGTAACATTTATACTGCAAATGCGAAGGACACCTTGAGGGGAAAATGACGCTTTCGCCCTCTTCAATGGTTTTACGAAGGAGTAAACCCAAATGTAAAACCCATGAGTAAAAGGGAAATTTGGTATATTTTCTTAGCACTTTATATACTGCAATGTGTATGTGTGTGTTTGTCAGTGCACTTACTTTCTCTCTTACTGGAGAAAAAGACAAATACAACACAAGTTTTTTCGAATTATCATCGTGTTTACAGATCATTTAAAATATATATATAGCTCTCGCACAGAAGTAGGTTGAGTTTTGTCTGTGGATGTCATTGTTGGGTAACACGGGCATATGCGCCGGGCTCTGCAGAGCAAACTGGCTGTCTCCATTTGAACCCGACTTTTTTTTCTTTTTTTTTTTTTCTTTTCCCCCCCCCCCCCCCCGTTATTTTTAGTCCACTTGAAGAAGAGTCTGTTATTCTCCCTGTGTATATTGACTGACCTGAGAAAGACTATTAATTCGTAAGGCTGCCTAGTTAAGTGGAATTTAAGGAGTTTCATTTTACCCTGTTGGAATGCAATAAAACACGATGTTATTAACTCGCCTGAACAATCTATTCGTCGAGGCTTGGTGTTATTTTGTACACAGTGCCTGCACCACAGGGCATACTGGGAGGGCTGGAGGTGGTTTTTTGTTGTTGTTGGTTTTTTTTTTTTTTTTTTTTTTTTTTTAAGAGCGCGATACTGACGTACCCCAGGTTTGCCGTGCAATGGATATACGATACAGTTAAGGTCATGCAGAACAAAACCAGCCTGGATGCAACGTGGAAAAGGAGCATGATTAACCGTTTCTCGTGCCGAGGCGTGCATCGGCAGCCAAGATACGGAGTGCTCGTGTTTAAGAAAGCTCGGGGCGGAGGGGGGTATGCCTTGAGAGAAATAGGAGGATTAAAGGGAAAGAAAGTAAACTTCCACCGCGATAAATGCAGCGGGGTAGAAACAGGCTGACCTAGAGTAGAATAGAGTAAGACATTCACAGCAGATTAACAAAGCAAATACAAGCGACTGTATAGATAAGATAGAAAGCAGTTTATTGACTCAGCGCTTATATACAATAAAGTTAACCAAGCTCATTAACATCTTTCGCTGGGCTGTTTACAGAATATCCAAGGGATGACAGGAACTCCGATGGTGGCTGCTAGTCCGGAGAGACATGACGGTGGTTTACAGGCGAACCCGGTGGAGGTGCAGAGTTACCAGCCGCCCTGGAAAGTACTGAGTGACTTCGCCTTGCAGAGTGACATCGATCAACCTGCTTTTCAGCAACTAGTAAGTGTCGATTCCCAGCTGGAGCAGGCCAGCCTGTACCCGGGGCAGGGCAATGGGGGATCCTCCAAACGTGCCGGATGCCCTCAGAAAGATGAGCAATCCACACTAGCTGGGTTTTCCTGAAATTGCAAGGTGGGCATGATGGCACTCTGTAAACGTGGCCAACTGAACTGGTTTAATAGTGCTTGGTGCAGAATCTACCTCAGTGCGCAGCAGAGCTCTTGCTGATTTGAGCAGGAGCTGGATAAGGCCCGACCCAGGCCTGAGACTGACTTCGCTCGCACACTCCTGAAAACTGAAGATCTCTCTACCCAGAGAACTAAAACACTCTTCAGGTGTCATTTAGTTGTACGTACATTTGTGAAAGCAGTTTCTAAAATTCTCCCCAATCCTCCTCAGGGCCGATTTTGCCTTTATGCGACAGGGTAGGTTTTAAATATATGATTGTAACATCAGCCTGTGCCCTTGTTTTGTCACACAAACATGAATAGCTTAATTAAATTTTTGAAGTCCTTATTTTAAGCATGTACCTCTAGATATAACTTTATATACCTAGATATACATATGTACACATGAAGATATATGTATATATAACTTACAATAAATGTTGTGCTTTGGAAAGGGAATAGTTAGTATGCATTTACTTGAAAAATTCAAACAATATAATGAACTGCATTAAGTCAAAAGAAAACAGACCTTTTAGAACAAATTCTGTTCTTAACTCACTTCTGTATGCCTAAATGATTTAGCAGCTCAATATCATGTATATATCATGTACAATATTTAGGTCCAACAAGGCGAATAAAGGACAGAAGTTCAGCCTTAACTCAATTTTTTGGCCTAAGTGTGTTAAAACCAGGTCTTTAAAATAGTAAGGTACATTGTGTATGGTTTTTCAGTGATCCAAAATAATGATGAAAAATTAACATATAGACCCTTTTTTGATCTGTTGGGCATTTTTCAACACAAAGTGATGCAAGATGAAAGTTTGTAGCCTTATTTAGGATTGTTTTCAGACCTTTTCAGTTTAGTATCATGCTCTCTTTCAGGATCACTTTTCTTTTGCCCAGTGGCAGGCTGCAGCCTGCTTCTCTCCCCTGGCACACCATGCTCACTTGGAAAGCTGTAGCACAGCAGCAAGGCTGTTTGCATCATCTTACCTCTAGAGCAACCACAGGTTTTCCTGCTTTAATCAAGCTGTCAAGCAGACATAAGAAAAATTGATCTGCTTCTGCTGCCTTACTTATTGTGCCTTAACAGAATAGGAGACTTTAAAACCTTTGATACAGCGAGTTTTTGTATGGAGTAGTTTAAAAAAAAAAAAAAGGTAGGATGGCAGATGGATGCCTCAAATACATGCATGCGTATTGGTAGACAGATCATTAGACAAACAGATGAATATTGATACGTATTGGACCTAATGTCTGATACTGAAAAGAGTTAAAATAAAGAATTGTGGATGGAACAGACAGTTCAGCGACTGTTCAAGGCATGTCTCTGATCTGGAAAGGGCCTTAATCACAGGATCAGCCAGCTAAATAGGTGCCAAGAAGTGCTTTCGGATTAGCACAGCTCCACCCTTCAAATTATGCCTTTTCCCAAAGCTGCTCCTAAACTAACGGGAGAGTGCAGGGCACATTAGGATGCAGAAGTGTGACCTTTTTTATCAAACTGATTCTCATTAAAAGGCAATAGCACGCGCTTCAGATCACAAATGAAAGACGATGGTTTGTTTCAAATGTGTTCTGCTCCTGGATGCTCCTTCCAGGTTTATATTAGTACGTGCATGAAAGGGGAAAGAAGTAACCTTGCAGTTTCATGTCAAAAAAACACATGCACTCTTAAATAATTGACTATAACATCCTGTTGGGATTGCCAGTTGCCACTTTTGCAAGACAGGGAAGAAGGCCTCATTAAAAAGTTTGTTTATTTCCTTAATTCTTCAGTCCTTTTTAAAAAAAGTTTTTCTTTTTACCTGCTTTTTTTTTTTTTTTTGGTGATTTGGCCGAAGGCCTGAAGAAAATTCCTGTGAAGTCAGTGGGGAAGCTAAATAAAGTAACGAGCAGTGACACAGCCTCCCGTGGAGACGTATCAGGCCATTCGGCTGCATGCCTGTGTATTTACTTTTGCGTTCTTCTTTGCCTTTGCCTGCTACTTTTCTTTGATTGTTACAGTTGTAACAACACTTCTTTTTCTTCTTTTTTCTTTTCTTTTTTTTTTTTTTTTTTGGCAGGTTAATTTTTCAGAAGGAGGACCCGGTTCCAATTCTACTGGAAGTGAAGTAGCATCGATGTCCTCTCAGCTGCCAGATACGCCCAACAGCATGGTAGCCAGTCCTATTGAGGCATGAGGAACATTGATTCAGATTTCTGTTGTTGTTGTTTCTGCCCTTACCGTCACCCCTGTTGGAGAAAGCGGGAAAGTGATCGGTTGGGACTTCAAAATTTAGTGGGGATAAATATTTAACAATCTTATAATGAACCTAGCAAGGAACTGCTCCATGAGATGAACGGAGTCATGTTTGAAAAAACAAGGTAATATGGTAGCAACACTGTGAAGACAATCATGGGATCTTACTAGAATAAATACTAAAAAAATAAAAAAACAAAACACAAAACAAAAAACCTAACCCGCGCTATCAATGATCAGAGGAGGATCGAAAAGACGTTTTCAAAACGTGAAGGATTTGTACTCGTGGATCTCAAAAAAAAAAAAAAAAGGAAAAAAAAATCTTTTCATTTGACTGCACATCTTAGGGAGAAACCAAGGTAGAGGGACTTTCTATCCAGTCCCTCCCAATCCGAATGGTGCTGTTTCTATATTGGGGATTGCCTTGCCAAAAGGAGCTCCAGTCGGTTTTCCATCGTCAGGAAAGAGACGATTTGACCCTGCATTGTTGAAAGATTCATTGCAGGAAGGTGGAGCTGCATTGGTTTGCAATGTTGTTTTTAGTTGACTCTTAACAAGGGGTTGTTTCCTGGGTCTCTTCTAGCATGTACTGTAGCGGGGTTTTGATTTTGTTTGGTTGAGATCCACCCTCTATCAAGTTTGAAGCGATTAAAAATAGGTTTTTGAATTGCTCTTTCAAAACCAATTTATAAAAGCATTGCAACAAGGTATACCTCTATTTTGCCACAAAGCGTCTCGGGATTGTGTTTGAAATGTGTCCGTCCAAGAACCTTCCCCTCCCCCAGAGATGTGTATAGTTAAAACGACTGTTTTTCTCTCTTTCTCTTTCTCTTTCTCTCTCTCTCTCTCTCCATAAAGAGAAAAAAAGTTTTAAAAAAAGTAAAAGGAAAAAGAAAAAAAAAACACATTCTTTTTGTTTGCTCTTGCATTACAAAATTATAAAGTAATTTATTATTTATTATCGGAAGACTTGCCACTTTTCATGTCATTTGACTATTTTTTTGTTTGGTGAAGTAAAAGAAAAAATGAAAAAAAAAAAAAACAACAAAAAAAGAAAAGTTTGTACCGTGGTCTTTGAATTATGTGTCTAATTCTATGTGGTTTTCGTCTTTTTTTTTTTTCTTAAATATTATGTGAAATAAAAGCGCCATATGTAGAACTATTATATCTTCAGGACTATGTCACTAAATAAGCGTTTGGAATAGAGAAAATAATAATAATATTAAATAATGAACAAAGTTCCCTCTTTTAAATATTTACAAGTTAGCAGCTAAAATACCTGAAATAAAATATTGCATGCAAAGCAGGTCGTTAGTGAATAAAAGGAGTGTGATATTTTATTGCAAGTATTAACGACCAGCTTGTAAATTTCTGTTTCAACAACTATATCAGGGCTAGTTGGATGCCTTAGCTTTCAATCGATAACGTTAGAAATTCTCTTGTGTCCCCCCCCATCCCTTGCCCTTAAAAGTGATATTACTCTAGGCATGATCTGACTTAACGTTAAGACATCTAAAGAACTGGGAACTCAAGCTTTTTGCTGAGTTCTATTATTTTTAAAAAATAATAAAAAGAAAGTGCTGTATACCAAAGCCTCGTTGTTGAGATTGTTGAAGTGACCTGTACTTTAAGTATAAGCTCCTGATACAAGGGACGCCTTTTGCTTAACAAGTCAAGTATGACCATTATTTATCAGTGTCTGCTGTCAAAACGATTGAAAAATGCTGCAGGAGGAATAAGTTGAGGGGATATTGCTATGAAATTGCACGTACAGTGTTCCTAATTTTCTGTCGACTTCCCTCTCTTCACTCCCTCTTTTCTTCCTTTTTTAATTTGCGGGGGAGAGGGTGGTGAAAGCTAGTAACGTGGGCGATTTCTTGGGGAAAAGTAGAAAGAAGAAGAAAAAGAAGAAGAAAAAAAAATATGAAAGGGTTATTTTTGCTCCAATCCGAGTGCTCCCTAGCGCTCCCGGCTAGCACAAGACAAAGGCTCGCTTTAAAAAACCCTTTAGAACTGGAATATACAGAGATTTTTAGTCTGATAAAGACAAGTTGGTTTGCATGACAGTTTCTCCAAACCCTGATGTTTTCTTAACATAACCTTCTTTTTCTTCCCTCCTCACCATCTCAGCCCACCCTGAGCAAGCTCAGCTATAGACAAACCATTTCGACAGTACAGAGAACATGAAAAAAAAATAGGTTAAAGTCTAATACAAGGATTTCAATCATCCTGATTAGAAACTGGATTCATTTTGTATGCTCAAGTGTAATACATTTTTGAGTACTTGATAAATATTTAAATAAATATGAAATCTACCTTAAACCGTGTGGCCAGTAACCTTTGTGTTTTCATGCAGGATCAGAGGCTTGGTACGACGCTTCAGGGGGCGGGAGGGAGAAAGGGTGTCATTTCGGCCCGGTGGTCTAACCTGTAAGTTCTCTGAGTCGCTCTTACTGGCGGGAGAGGGGGGGAAACGGGGAGTTTGGAGACCGAGTCTCCGAGTCGGGGGTGGGGTGATGTCTTCAATTGGTGCTGAAAACCTGCAAGGTCAGGGCAACACGGGGGCCTTTGCGTTCGCCTTTTACCGTCTGCAGGATAAGGCGTAGGTGGGAAGCGCGGCCACTCCGCGGGGGAGGCGCAGGGCTACGCCAGGGCGGGGTGAGGGCGCGGGAGAGCAACCT